CATTTGTCAATCTCCGAAGGACTTGGAAATTTCAGAAGAATTCAGCAATTAGTTGTGATAAAAAATTACACCAGAATTAGAATCTTATGCTTCCTGCCAAATACCCAGAATCTAAACAAAAATGATTTACCAATCCCAAATGCAAAAAAAGATATCTTAGTCAGGCCAAATAATCACAAATCAAGAAGCTAAAAACAAAAAGAAAACGTCCTTCATCACCAAAATCAACACATATTGACCATTATTATGGAAATGTCTATTAACCAAACAACACTCAAAACATATTTTTTGAAAGATAAAGCATAAATCGCGAGATTTAGATATTCATGATTCAAAATGGTTAGAAAAAAAGTGGCCGAATTGTGTAATTCTACCCCTAAAAAAACCCTAATTGTTACATTTCGTGAAGCCTAGATCGGAAAAGCTCAACCTTTTCACATTTTCCAGCAAAATACACTCGAACTATATGAAAGATAACTATTAATAAATTTTACGAAATAGAAAAATAAGCAAATGGGTATTCCTCAAATAACAAATGAAGCCTCCTTTTATATTTATATTTTTTGGAGATTTCGAGTGTCTTACTCTGCTATTTTCATCGGCATTTATCAGAACAAACTCATTTCTGTTATGAGAACCAGCAATGAGTCGACCTCCAGTGTCCATGACTCGCTACAGCAATCAACACAAGAACAACCCCAACTCGGCAAAACTCGGCCTCTTTCTTCACCGAATGAACTCGTCTCAGTACCGCCAAGTTAACTGATAAAAAAAATCCAAACTTTAGGTTCCTTGAGCTCCCATCAAATGAAACCCAAACCACCGCTTGACTGCAAAAGTGTAGGCTTTGAGGGAATAAATAAGCTTAAAATATATATAATTTAATAGGAAAAGAGAAAAGAACAAAGGAGCGAAAGAATGCGTGTTTGAGGATTGAGAAGCAAGCCAAGTCTGTTCTGTAACATGCCTGGTTTGGTCTCTCAATCTAAAATGCCACCTTTAAGATACAAAATTACAAAGGTTTTAGAGATTAATAATACAGGTGTTAGAAGGAGAATAAAAAGAATTAAGAAGGGTGATGTGGTGGTGGGGTCCAGAAAGTGACGGTGGCGATGGCCACCACAGCTGGTTGGGGTGGAACAAAACAAGAAATTTATTTATTTTTCCAGAATATAGATTTTCTAATGTTATTATTATAACTTTTTGGAGATAACAAATTCCGCGTAGTAGTAAGTAAAAAAACACAGCTTTCTCTGTGTCTTTGTGTGATCAGAGGTGTTGAACTTCAGAGTATTGGGTTTTGAGTTTAAATTAAGTAAAAATAAAAGAGAAAACGCGTACAGTGGCTGACATGATCTACGCCGCGTTATCATAACATATTTGCTCGGTTTTTTTATGATATAATGATGACATTATTTCCTAATGTTTATATAAATAATTATTTAAATATAAATATTACATATATAAATATACTTTAAAGTATTTCAGTTTTCGACGTTTTACTTTTAATAAAAGTAAATTTTGTTAAATTAATAAGGTTGATTTAAGTGATAAATATATTAATATCGATTACCTAAAATCTCGAGTTTAAATTTTTATATATGTAGAAAATCTCACCCACGTCTATCAAAATTAGATATATAACGTAAATCGTTTCAAATTAATTAAAACAAAACATTGGAATTAAGAGAGCAACAAAAAAAATTGTTATATGAAATTATAGTGTGATAGACTCTCAATTTAACTTTTTTTTTCAAAATCCATACTTTAAAGTTTCTAAAATTTATACAAACCAAATTTATTAGAGGGTTAAGGAATGATCATTATTCTTAAAAGTCTTAAGTTTAAAAATCAATGATTGTAATGTATTTGAACATTAATTGTCAAATGGTTGAGAGTCTTTAATTTATAACATGTAGTACCACTTGTAAGCGCCATTGATTAATAAAAAAATTGTTATCTAAAATTTTTTATGGTGAAATATATGTTTAGTATCTTAATTATCATTTTTATTCTATTTTAGTCACTTAATTATTTTTTAAATCATACTTAAAGTTTAGATTTAGTTTCATTTTGATTACCTACCGTTAAAAAATTAACGACATTAAAAATTATGTTAAGTGACATGTGTCACGTTTTGATAATTTTGAAATATCTAAAAAAGCTTAAAAATATTATAAATGTGACTCAACTCGTCTCAACTCAAAAAAAAATTCAAGTTAAATTCGAGTTATAAAATATGACTTGTCAACTCGAAGAACTCGAAATTTTTTACTCGATTCGATTCAATCAAATGCTCGCCCCTAATTACTAATGTGATAATTTTTTTATTTTTTATGATGAAGTGACAATATCTTACAATGACACGTTAATATTACCGTTAATTTTTTAATGACAGGTGACTAAAACAAAAAAAACGTAAGTTCAATTATGTTTTGAAAAAAAAATTGGATGGTTAAAACAAAGCTACATAAATAGTTGGGTGACTAAATATGTAGTTTACCCTAAACTTAATTCATGGTTCGGTTCTATAAATACATAAGAGTAGATTAAATTAATTTGATACATAATTTATTAATTAATTGACGGGGCAAAATGAAAACACATGTCAGGTGGGAAGCGAAATTAATGTTGGATAGACAGTTGCCTGCTAAATAGAGTGTCGGTGGAGATAATCAAATAACATTCCTCTATAAAGTTTTTCCTTTTTTTATATTTTTATGAAGTGACGTGCAAATTTCGTAAATTAAATTATGAATAAAGTAAATTAGAATTTCCATCTTTATTATATACTATTTAAATTAATTGATCAATATAAATTAAAAAATTATATTTCCTACAGCGTTCAGTTTCAGCAACACCATTTTATTCATCAGTAATCATACGACACGTAGTGAATCATGTAGTTGTTAATCATAAAACAATGGGTGTGGTAGTACAAGAGCAAGGCCACGTAGTAAGTCATGTGATAAGATAGAACACCAAATATCATACTTAAACTTTATTTTCTAAAAAAGCATTCTTAACGTTTAGATTAAATTTTATTTTTATATCAATCGCTAAAAGATAATTGAATTACTTTTTTAATGATGATATGATATTACTAATAATGATACGTCAATATTACTGTTAAGATATTAACTATAGGTACCAAAATAAAAATAAATATTAATTATAGTTTAAAAAAATAAAATTTAAATACCAAAAACAAAATAAAAACAACAATTTAAATACTAAACATATAGTTTATCATTCTTTCTTTCACTCAATTGGGCTCATTTATATTTAATTTAAAGGTAAATTATATATTTAGACATCTATTTATTTTCACAAATTTTTTCACACAATTTTAAAATATATATATATCTAATGATATATTTTGATTCTATTTTGTTTATTTATCATTAAAAATAAATAAAATTGTTGATGTATTAACTTTTTATTTTTTATTAATAACATGATATTATCTTATGATGATACATTAACATCATTATTAATTTTTAATAATAAGCTATAAAAAAGCAAAATCATAATGTGATTTTAAAAAAAATAATCAACACAGCACCACAATAATAAGTGATAGATAAATACGCAGTTTACCCTTTATTTAATTTAGTTTAATTACTTTCTTTTTTTAAAAAAAGGAGAAGGTACAGCTGGCGATAGTGACTACTTAGGTGGAAAGTTATTATAATCCACAGAATCTAATATCTATCTTTTTCTTTTTATTGTCATATATTAATTTTTCACGTAATTTTATAATTTTTACAGGATACATAATTAATTGATAAATTAATATTTGGAAAATTAATATTTTTAGTGAAAAACTGAAAAGAACAATAGAAAATAATTTATGTTTAAATTGTTTTTAGAAGAGAATTTTCAAAGGTAGGGGAAATAGGTATAATTGGAAAAGCGGATGTACAGTTCATAGAATTTAACAGCGTACGGAAAAAGCAATGACGGACACACTTTATAAATTAACAGTGTACGGTCAAAAAATACATCTTTCTTTTATTTATTTATATATTTATTTTGATTGATGGGATTTGGAGGGAGTGAGTGAAGTAAAAAATTTCAACTTTTTCGTTGGTTTAAGTTTTGGTGTAATTTTATTGTGCTTCATATTGATTTAAGATGAATTTAATTTAAAATAATATCATATTCAACCTAAAAATTATATTAATTTATACTATTTTTTATTATTAAAAATGTTACATTGTAGGAGTTTAGGACTTCTAATTGAAAATATCATAAAAATAATATTTTCAGTTACAACAAATTATTAATAGAAAATATATTAAAAAATATAAAATATAAAAGAATTAAAAAAAATTCAAGAGAACCACTATCTCCATATTCTAAGTCCATCCATGTTCATGCTCTTTACAAATGCAATACAAGGAATTACTTACCACTCTCCTATTTGCTAAATTCTTTTTGTGATCAGTGAATTTGAAATAATTAATCATAGGAAATTCTTAAATTTTGTTGCTACTGGAAGCTCTCATATAACTTTTCACGTCACCTTATTATTAATAAAGACCTGAAATTTTATGTTAGAATATGAATTATAAAATTTTAAAGATAAAAATATATTATTAATATAAAATAAAAAATATTTAAAATATTCAGGGCATCAGTCCGACCAACCCCTTTAGTCCATCCCAAATAAACAATGATATAATTAAGATTGAACTATGGAGTACATTATTTTAAAGAGAATATTGACACTATTTTAATACTAGCATTATCTTTTAGGCAAGTCCAAGATGCACTTGAAGGGCCCAAGTGCCACATTCTTTTGATCTTCATGCAAGTAACGTTAGTAGTTGCAGTTACTGGTTTACAAAACCCCATCATATTCCCCTCTGATTAAGGCAATTATATCTCTTATTAATCACATCTTTAGTTTCAATCCTCTCCTATAAATAATCACCCACAAATTTCACTCTCTTCATTCATCGTTTTCTAATTCAACTATTACTTGAAAAAATACAATGGCCCTCAGAGATATGTTCCATGTTTTGGTCCTTGTCTGCTGCCTTTTGGCTAGTGTAACATCAGCAGCAAGGCTCGACGATAATCGAGGCCTCGCCGAGTGCTGGAATGCACTGAATGAGATGAAATCATGCACGGATGAGATTGTTATTTTCCTTGTTAACGGCCAAGCTGATATCGATGCCGACTGTTGTCATGCCATCGAGGTTATCACTCGTGATTGTTGGCCTACCCTGCTCACTTCACTTGGTTTCACGTCCGAGGAAGGTAACATTCTTAGAGGCTACTGTGATGTTCCTTCTGCTCTTGCTCCTGCTGCTGTTGCACCTCTTGCTGGCTCCCCGGCTAGTCCGGCGCCCGTACTTTAAAGAAATCGGCATTTGGAACGTTCGGGTTTATATGCATTTAGTTTGGTGTTAGTACGGTGTTTGATGTGTAATGAAATTTGCTTGAATAAAATGAATTAAAAGTTCTCAGTCATGCAGAGTTTTGGTCTCTAATGTTTTAAAGTTTTAGACGTATTCTTTTCTGCTTTGTCTGCCTTGTAAATTGAACATCCGCCGTTAAAATTTCTTATAAACCAATGTGTCAAGCTCAATGGTACCTTGAACACACTCGTTTAGGCTTAATTTAAACTGTAGTTGAATACCCAGATGACCTTTTTTTATCTGATATATGGTCGAAAACGTAACACATATTGTTTAAAGTTCAAGTCAGATCAATATGTAAGGTTGGCCCGAATTATCCAACTATAACTGAATTCAAGCCTCTCGGGTTAATTCATATTGTTAACACGAAATTTAGGACATTACAACACCATTTTCTCATTGCTGCTCGTAAAATCAACATATTATCAATTGACTAAAGTATTGGCAGTCATTGAAAAAAATGCAGTTATTATGATATATTCCAAACTTTCTTTCAGTATTTTATGACAATGCTACATTATGAAATCAAATAGGATATTGGTTCAAAAAAAATTATATGCAAATCAGTTCTCTGAGATAACTTGACCCTTGAAAGGTGTCATACCTACTCATATATAGTGAATTTAAAGAAGCGATGGTGCGTTTACGGGTTCTTTGAAGTAGTCAAGTGTACATGTGCTCATATTATAGTTGAATGTTCATATATATTCACATAAGAGATACATGAATAACATATACAAATTTTTACAAATCTTCAAGATATATGAACATGGGTTCCCTATGATTAATAATAAAAGAGAACAAAATGTAAGTGACATTTGGTCTACAATACCACTAGATCATACATTGCATTAAGATCTAATAAATCACATAAAATCAATTAAGATATGCTCTAATATGAATATTAGAGGGAAAATTTAGACATTCTAAATAATGTGAATATTATAAAAACCTAGATCATAACATCAAAATGTGTCTAATTTTTTAATAAAGTTTTATTCAAATCAATTTGTTCTTAGTATATATTTATATGCTATGATTTCATTATATTAGAAAAATCTTAAAATACTCCATCCTAAATTATTTTTAAATAAAATGTATAAAAATAAAAAAATAAACCACTAAATTGACATAGGAGAAAATCTTTTAAAAATATATTTTATTACTCATATATTTTTTAAAACGATGAGACGTGCCATGTAAAATAAAGCTTAGTTTAATCCATCGTACCTTCTAAAAGGAGTAGCTGATTTGGTTGGATCTTTATACTATATAACACAAATGAATATTATTTTGATAAATAATTGAAGGCGATTTTTAATTTAATTTTTAATTAATAAAATATTTTAAGACTTTCAAAAAGAAATAGTGAAATAATAATTCTATTTTTATCGCCGTCGCCTTGTACTTAGCCATGATCAAAAGTTTTAAAAAGAAAGTATTTTTCCCTTTCCAATTTCTCTCTCTCTTTTTCCCCCCAAACACACACACAAAAACTGATAATAAAAAAAAAACCTAAAAGGAAAGGAATGTTTGCTTCTACCAACATAATATAGCTTCATCATTAACAGCTGTGCTTTTTTATCAAAAGCATGAAGCAGTTAACAAAGAATTATAAACATAGTTTTCCAACATCATATTTTCTTAATTTAATATTGAGCCATGATATACACATAAATTAATCATTTCTTCCTATTCAACAACACTGACGAAAATAAAAATGTCACCTCAGGGTCTGAGCCACCGAAACATAGAAGATAAGATGCGATAGCGAAAGCAAAGTGACGGGCGCCCAGCAATGCGGGCACTGGAAACAAATCGACTGAGCTTGAGCCATGAAGACGAGGGCTAAGAAGACGAAGAAGAGCTGAAAAAGCTTGTGGAGCTCTTTCTTCTGGAGGTCGATGGTTCGTTTCTTTTCAAGGGTCTTCTCGAATTGGAGTTGGATTATGGTGTTTAAGGCTCGCAGAGCAGTTTCTTGGGGATTATTTGGTGAGTTGGCTCGTAGTCCGCCATTGATGACCAAAGGAGTGAGAGATGGAAGCTTTCTAGGGTTTCAAAAATGACTGGAGTAGGTGAGCTTGGTGATCTCAAGGGATTATCTGATGGTGGAGAGAGGGTTTGGTTCATCTCTTTGGGTCTGAAATCTGAATCAGTGATTGCAAAGAGGTTTCATTGGGTGTAATACTGTAAACTTTGGATTCTTAGTTTATTAATGTTGTTCTTCTGACATGTTCTTACACTTAACCCCAAGTTTTTTTATTCATTCAATTCAAGCAGTGACCTGAATTGAATGTTTCTTTTAGATAAAAAGGAATTCAGTTTTTTTTTCTTTTTTATTGGTAATTTAATTTAGGTACACTGTATTTAATCATTTATTTATTTTTAAGTTTTGTTATTATAATCTAGTTATTTTTTTAATATTTACACTTAACATTATATTTTAGTCATTCGTAATTCGAAAATTAATGATGATATTAACGTGTAAACTCATAAAATTTAATATAGTGGCGTGTAATATGTACCACTAAATTTTGTAAGTTTTATGTTAAGGTTATTTCTATGTGCAGGTAACATATTTCTTGGTTCATGATAAGATAACAACATCACTGAAAGAACTAAGTGAGATATCTGGAATATAATAATAATTAAAATTTTTAAAATAATTTCCATTTAAGAGAGAGATATTTAAGTGTCAACTAAAACTTATAACTACCTGTTTTATATATTATTTAAGTGAATATTTAAAGATCAAGAAACCTTAAATAGTAAAATTTATAAATCTATTTATATAACATATTTATGTATATGTTTTAAAAATAAAAATATTTCGACCATTCTTTTACATCTATCAAGATATTTCATTCTTTCAGATTTATTAAAATAAATCTCTCGAGAATATTTATTAAAATAAGTTAAAAACATGAATAATTTAAACTTAATTTTATTTTGATTATATTTAAAGATAGTAACTCATTTTGATGATGTGGAAATGGTATTACCAGGGTAGGAAATGCATGGCATCTCGTATTCAAAATCCTAGAAATCATCAGATCTTGGACTCCGTGGAACAAATTTAAATCAAATAAAAGATTTCAAAACCCGGTATCGAATAAAATCTCCATGAACGTTTCGTGACAGCAAAATGACACTTATAACTTAGAATTTCTCGTAACAGTACAAATAGCTATTAACATTAATGTTCGCGCCCAGCAATCTCTTAGCCTAACCCAAACCTCACCCCATTAATGGGGAAAACATTGAATTTGAAAACTAAACAAAATATAAGAAGAAACAAGCATCATAGTCACTCTCCGACCACAAACATCCTATTAAGAAACAATATGGTTGAGAGATGCATGGAAAATCACCAATTGTCTGCCCACCACCACCATATCCATACCACAATCCCCGTATTGACGATGACACCCGCAGTGGCACCAGAGGTTTAAACTTATAAAAAGTGCAACTTAAATAATACATAAGCTCAAAGTACACCATCCTTCAATAATCCCTGCTTACCATCGAAGCACTTAGAAGCACTTCCTGTGGACAATAGATGGACCAGATTCATCATACTCGCCCTTGGAAATCCACATCTGATGCAACAGGTAAAGAGAGAATATCAGTCTATGGCAATTATCGTAAAGGAAATGGAAAATACATCAAATATGATAAAATATACTTCCACCTGTTGGAAGGTGCTGAGGGATGCCAAAATAGATCCTCCGATCCAGACACTGTACTTTCTCTCTGGTGGTGCAACAACCTTAATCTTCATGCTGCTTGGTGCAAGGGCAGTGATCTCCTTGCTCATACGGTCTGCGATACCAGGGAACATGGTTGATCCACCACTGAGCACGATGTTGCCATAAAGATCCTTCCTGATATCAACATCACACTTCATGATAGAGTTGTAGGTAGTTTCATGGATTCCAGCAGCTTCCATCCCAATGAGTGATGGCTGGAAGAGGACTTCTGGACAACGGAATCTCTCAGCTCCTATAGTAATGACTTGTCCATCAGGTAATTCATAGTTCTTCTCAACAGAAGAGCTGCTCTTGGCAGTCTCCAGTTCCTGCTCATAGTCCAGGGCAACATAAGCTAGCTTCTCCTTCATGTCACGGACAATTTCCCGTTCAGCAGTGGTGGTGAACATGTAACCTCTCTCAGTAAGAATCTTCATCAAAGAATCAGTAAGATCACGACCAGCAAGGTCTAGACGAAGGATGGCATGCGGTAGGGCATAACCTTCATAAATGGGTACAGTGTGAGAGACGCCATCACCAGAATCCAGCACAATACCTGTTCCAATAGGGAGATAATTCAGCGTCATTAGATTTAGATTGATCAGGAGTGATCTATACAAAACCGGTTCAGTAGGTCATACCAGGAAAGATAGATAAAAATATGAAGGAAAAAAATTACAAGGTTTATTTTTAACCAACCTGTTGTACGACCACTGGCATACAAAGAAAGAACAGCCTGGATGGCAACATACATTGCAGGTACATTGAAGGTCTCAAACATGATTTGGGTCATCTTTTCTCTGTTGGCCTTGGGGTTGAGAGGTGCCTCTGTTAGAAGCACAGGATGCTCCTCAGGAGCAACACGAAGCTCATTATAGAATGTATGATGCCAGATCTTTTCCATATCATCCCAATTGCTGACAATACCATGCTCAATTGGATATTTTAAAGTAAGGATGCCTCTTTTAGATTGTGCTTCATCTCCTACATAAGCATCCTTCTGACCCATCCCAACCATGACACCAGTGTGTCGGGGTCGACCAACAATACTGGGAAAGACTGCCCTTGGGGCATCATCACCAGCAAAACCAGCCTACATGGTAAACAATATCAGATCAACTGCAACGAAGTAACACATTTTTCTTAAACAAATAAATAAGAATGGAGATTATAAGTCGGGTCTAAAAATCAACTAACCTTCACCATTCCAGTTCCATTGTCACAGACGAGGGGTTGAATATCCTCACCATCTGCCATCTTTCACTACTACAGACAAGAAACGGAACAGTGAGTACAGCTAAATCAGACGTCAGTCTGAACTCTATATATCTCTCAACTAATCTAAGCAAACCAAATTAAAGTCAAAGACTGGATCCTCTTGGTGAAAAAAGATACACTTCAGTCGACATTCATTCCTTCAAATGCATAATATATTTTTAGCTAGCCAGAAAACTTAAATTTTGCTACCACAATGGGGCAACCAAATCCGGTCAGTTCAAGACATAGTTTTCAGTATCTAATTATGCTTCACTATAGATGGAACACAATTTGAATTAAATCATATAAAGAAATAAAGTTCAAGATCAGAGCCTTTACTTAACCACAAAGAGATCTTGGAAAAGCATTCAATATTCGCGATGAAAACATTAATCAGTACAGAATGGAAGCAGATCAAGATCAAATAAAGCGGAAAAGGAAATAAATTTCCATAAGATTTGTACATCGCAAAATGTATTGAAGCAGATCAAGCAAAGTGAAGATCCAGAAAGAGAGAGCAAATCAGAACAAGCTAAATCGAAAAGAAATCCACTCTCTACAACACTCCAGAAACTTCCAGAGAGCTAGATCTCAGTACCATTATAGTCAAAACATCACAAAGAAATCCAAAAATAGGCACATTACAAGTGAAAACAGAGAAACGTTAACACATTTACCTGAATAAGGAAAGAGCGAAGGAGAAGTTCGAGAAAGAGTGGAAGACCGGCGACGCTTCGATTGTTGGTCACTTTCAGTAGAGGAAATTGGAGAGAAGAAGAGGAAGGAAAGGGTTATTTATATGGAGAGATTGTTGGGAAGGTTTTGAAATGCAAATGAAATTCGAGGGAAATTGAAAAGAAAGTTGAAATTTAAGGGGGAATCATTTGCACCACCAAGTTAATAAGATAGGCTGACCTGGCTTTGTCTGATAGCCTGACAATAAGATATTCTTACAAGAATTTTCTAGCAACATGACTGAAAAAATATTTTAGAAAAAAATATAAAAATATGGTCGATTTGTTAATAAGATAAGGATACTTTTACTTTGCGGTAGTTTAATTTAAGATGATTTTTTATTTAAAATTTTATTTTTTCAATCTAAAAAATTATATAATTTATAATATTTTAGATTGTAATTTTAAAAGTTTTATTGCAGTAAATTTGAGATTTACAGTCGAAAAATAACAAAATTTATAATAATTCTGATTACAATCGAAAATGTTATGAATAAGATAATATTTTATATTTCAACTTAAAATGTTATGCTATCTAATCTTAAAAAAACTCTTTTAATTAGATTTTTGGTTGCATTCTATTTATATCATTTTTAACCTTATATCAATACGTTGTAATTCAGATTCTCTCGTAAACTAAATGATATAACAAAATTAATCTTCATTGTAGTATTTTCTTAAACAATATAAATAAATAACTTTTTTATTTTATAAGTAAATTATATAATGAATCTTCAATTTAATCTGGTTAAGTAATTGCTTGCTCATCTGATAAACTAGCCGATTAAACGCATTAATATGGTGAGTACTTTTATTCTCAATGTATACTAAATATTTGTTATAAGCTTATTTTTTTTTCAAGTTGATTGAGTGATTTTGGAGCATAAATATCCTTCATTTTTGTCTTAATTATGATAGGCATTTTTTTCCATTTAGCACATTCTACTTGATTGTAAGAGCAAGATCCAACTACATTATGTAGCGTGCTTGTAATTTTCTTCTACGTAAGCTTTATTATTAAAAGATTTTACTTGGTACTTTACTCGTACATGTTTTATCATTTGATCTCAATCTGAAATATTACACATTTTATCTAAACTTGACACATTGCGTTCTAATAAAATCGATGATAGAAAAGTAGAAATAGAATAGAAGAAAAAACCAAACAGAAGAAGAAAAATAAAAATAAAATATATGAATCAAACGATTTTAACGGTTAAAAAAATGTGTGTTATCTTTAAAAGTCTCGAATTCGAGCATGCCATCAGTAAAGGTGTTTGAGTACTTACTGTCAAATGATTGATAGTCTTTCTAATATATATTACTTTATAATTATCTCTTACTAATTAAAATAACAGAAGAATAAAAAAAACTTAGATAAAATATTTTTTTTATCTTAACCTCGAATTAAACTTCACTTTTGAGCCTCTTCTTCAATTTAAAAACTCAACCTTATATAACAATATCAAAATTTACCAGATTCATATATTTTAATCGATCCCTATTACTACACAAATAAAATTTCATTATACAAACCAATAACAGACCTCAACACTGTACTTTCTTCATCCCGTTAATTTTATCTCAGATCGGTTAAAGCACAAAGTTTTAGGAGTCAAATTTAACAAGATATTAAGTTATATAAAGGGTAAACTATGCAAACAGATCCTTTTATTTAGGGTGTGATCAACTTTGGTCACCAATTGAAAAATTAAAGGTAATTTGTCTCTTACATTATCGGTCCGTTTTTTTTAAATTCATATGCTATTAATTTCCGTTAATCCCCTTTTGTTTAAGTCCATAACATGGTTAAGGGACTAAAATTGAACGGGAGTTATCGGCTGATGGACTAAAATCGAATGGATCAATAATGTTAGGGACCATTTCCCCTTAATTTTTAAATTGGTGACAAAAGTCGTCAAACCGAAAACATAGGGGACTATTCGCATAGTTTACCCTAATATAAAATGAGGTAAATGATAAAATTATCTTCTAAAAATGATTGGTAGATTTAACATATTTGTTTTGATAAGTGGCTGATCTAAAAATTTAAGAATGTGGTCTAAATTTTAATATTTTTTTCTTAGAAATAATGAGTATGCAATTTTTTCCTTTAATTAAACTAAATTTAATTATTTTTTTTTCAAAATAATGGAGATGCACTTAGCCCCTAGAGGCTTAGTGAATATGCCCTTGGTTTTGATAGGTGTAAAAGAACGAGATATATAAGAGTAAATAAGAAAATATTAAATATTTGTTGACTTTTCTAATAGGAAATTTAAATGAGACAATTTAAATATGCAAAAGAGACAAATTAAATAGAAAAAATATTTCTTTTGAAAGAATAAAAAGTATTTTTATCATTATTTCAACTTAAAATTTCTTAAAATTCTAATATTTCTTAAGGTCAAAACTCCACATTTCCCTTCTATCTACCGTCATTGATACCAATCATATTTGATGATGCGGTATAAATGATGTGCACCACCTTTCCTCTTAGTAATAATCAATGGTAGATTCAAAAATTTAAATATGAGTTTAAAATTTTTATTTTTCTTTTTTTTAATAAAATGGGTATGTTTTTTTCTCATTTCTTTAATATATTGAACTATATTTAATAACGTATCTAAAATAATAAGTATGCATTCATCCTTTTATATAATCAAATGCATCCGCTCCTGATAACGACTTTCTTCTCTTTTCTGAGTTAAAGCTTTGTTAAGTGGAAAAACATAAGAATAGAAGAAGATGATGGAAAAAAGTAAAAATGAAAATAAAATTTTGAACGTATTTGGTAAGAAAGAAAAATGAAACGAAAGGAAATGAGAAAAATGATCATTTTCTATCATTTATGAGTAAATACGAATCACTCAAATTTTATAGAAAATGTGAAGAAAGATATAAGTAGTTCAAATTATGTATTTTTCAAGACTTAACCTTTCTTTTCTCCCATTTTTCAACCATAACAAACAATAAGTATTTAGTACATAAATTATTAGTTTTATTTTATTTTAGTATCTAAATTTTCATTTGTTTCAAAATTATACTCAGCATTTACTTTTTGTTTCGTTTTGGTACATCGCCGTTAAAAACTTAGCGGAACGGTTAAAGACACTTTTTATGAGTAAATTACACCATTCATCACTCAACTATCTTCTCACTCCTATTTTGGTTACTGAAATTTATTTATTTATTTTTAATTTAATACCTTAACTTTCAAATTACTCCTAATATAATCACTCTAACTTTCAAAATTATTATTTTTTATTTTAATTATATATTCAATAAAATAATAATAAAAATATCATTTCACAAAAATTATCAATAAAATAAATTATAGTGATTAAAACATGAGCAATTTGAAAGTTGAGTAGTTAACTTGAAAAGTTTTAAACTTTAGTGACCAAAATAGGAGGGAAAAGATATTTAAGGGATGAATGATTTAATTTATCCATAAAAATGAAACAAAAAGTTAATGTTTGGTATGATTTTGAAACAAATGAAAGTTTAGGTACTAAAATGTAACAAAAATGATAATTTAAATACTAAATGTGTAATTTACCCTAAAAATATAATGACATTTTTTATTAATAAAAAATGAAATTAAATAAAGATATATGATAAACATTCCTTAACTTTTACCTTTTTTTCCCACAATCACTTTCTAATCTAACCATAAGTCTATAAATCTGTGATCATTTTCTAATTAATTAATCCAAATAAATATTACTCTCTAGAATCAATCGTTTTTAAGAATCTATATCCATAAGAACTTATCAAGTTACCTCAATGGTTAAAATAAATATTGTTTTAAACTATTCAAAAAGAAAAAAATATATATCCATAAAATTCTTGTAATATGAGTTATATTGCTCAATTAACTCTTTCCCCCGATAAATTCGAGGTGAATACAAGGTAGTATATGTTCAAAAACTCTCAATCGTTTACAACTAATGATTATACCCTGAATACGTAATGCTCGATCTCAAAACCTTAAAGAATAACAATAAATCTTTAACTAATAAGGTAATTTGATTCGTGCGCTCAATTAACTCTTATTTCTAGTGTTTGGTACATATTGCATCTGTTATTTATTTTGCAGTTCGCACAAAGGTAGTCATAAAAGGTACAGCTTAAAAATGGATCATAATGTCTACCTTTAGGCCCCATTAACTTGCATGTGCTAACACGTGCCAACTACAATCACCTCTCTTTACATTTGTCAATCAAAGTTGGCACCTAAAATCATTCATTCTAAATCACGGAAGACAATGAGGATATAATAATCAATCAAGCTTGCCTACTAACTTATATATTATTAAAGTTTGCCCGTATGGCCTATGCCATGTTGTAAAGAGACATTTCTTCCACATATATCAGGAAAGGCAAAAAAGGGACTTTAGTGGCACTCCACTCCTTTGAAATTTATTCAATTGTTTTTATATTTTTGTAGAGCATTTTGCAATACATCTGCTCCACACACTGGGATTTGGATTTAAAATAGGGTTTGAGATTTCTGCAATTCAAAACATTTGGACTGCAAAGGTGTTTTTTAATCTGATTCTAGTGTTTCTTTCAAGTGGTGTCGAAGTTTTTTTAAAATAATTTAAGGTGATTATAAGTTAATATTTGTTTAAATTTTTTCTTAACTTATTGACAACATACACATAAATCTTGTAGACGTAATTACTCGAGTCCGAATCTTTTAAGGAGAACAACTTTGAAAGATTCTCATAGGGATAGATAAGAGAACATGACTTTGGAAGATTCTCATAGGGAAAATTTAATATACATGACAAACACATACTTGTATCATACGCTCGGACGTAAAACCAAATATAATAGGTTCATGTACCAAATTAAGCCTGTAAGGATGTCTGGATGTATCCTTTGGAGAACAGCGGGCATAATTATTCAAAAAAAAAAATTTGACTCCGACTCCGAACACATACCTATATCTTAATCTCACCTGAGTTCATGTAACTTCGTCTGTCTTTACAACGATGGAAACTAATTTGGTAAACAATGTAGTTTATGTAGCCTAATGGCTAGAGGATTTATCTGTGTCTTTCCTCTTTGCACCTCAATGGTTCCCTTGTTATCTATTATATGGCATAATATCAGTATATCACCATGAGTTTTTTTTAAGCATAAGATGTATTTTGCAGTTAAAGAAAATCAGATCAGCATGAGAAGGGTCCAAAACAATGTAAATTTTAAAAGATTTGATAAATTTAATGATGGTCATCATGATCCTATGAGTAATCATTATGATCCTAAACTTCATACTAATACGAAAGGTCATTATAAAATCTCTTTGTTAAGACTTAAGAGAATGCTATTGACTTCTTCTACTTCTTTTCGAGCGATCTTCATCTTCATAATTCATAAACTAGACAATATTAACCGTTTGTAATTCCAACATTAGTTTTCCCCTCCCAAATTTAAAGAGGGAAACCTTCTATAATCCCTATAACCCGAGTATTTCTATCGACAATAATTTTAGTCGAACTGAACTTGAACAAGTATAAGATATACTAATATCATACAAAAGTTTGATTCTTCTCAGGAATACATCTAAATTATTATTTAAATTTGAGTACTACAATATGTATATATACTGAACTTTCAAAAAATTTAACTATATTATCCGAATTTGAGTACTATAATATATATATATATATATATATATATATATATATATATATATATCGATTAGGATCTATTTATATAATGTACTCGATCTACCGCTGAAACTAGGCAAATCAAATGGAGGCGGCCGGGTTTGTGTGTGGTTATTAGTCAGCTCCCTCTTTGGAATGGTTCAATTTCCACCTATTAATACTGTCGCTGATTCTGATTTGAAAGTTTATATTAGTGGATTCACCTTCATCGTGCATTGGTTTTGTGCTTTTTGATTATTGGTTGGAAGATACCATAATATTTTTTTATTTTACCTGCGTCTCCATATGGAATTCTATTTTCCCTTTACATTTCAAACAAAGTAGATTCCCATTCATGTGTTTATAGTAAATTTTTGTTGGATTTGCTTTACATGGTGTCATCTCAACTATTTTCTAATGATCGCTTATTTTTTAAATTAATCATTAATATCTTATTTATTTTTTGATTAATTGAGATTAAATTTTGTAGAGGCCTACTATGAGGACAAACTTTCTATTCCAATTTGCTCCATTCGTAAGTCTCAGAGTTCAAATCCCATACTTTATTTAAGGAATCTGCTGTATTATTCCACTAAACCAACTTGTTGTTAGTACAATTGTTTCATTTTAATAATACTATATTCTAGTGCTTAATTGTCAGTAATCGCTTAATTATGAACATAATCCAAGTATGATTCCATCGCAAAAGTCAACTTGTTTATATGAAAATAAAAAATATGATTTTTTAACCATCTAATTACATGTAAATATTAAAATGAATCAATCACACAATATTCATCCCTCAAGCATATTTGAGAAGCACTGTATTATTTATTTTATCAACAGTTTCCATAAGAAGCATAGGGAATGGATAAAGATTTCGGTCTGTTGAAGGTAAAGTGTGAGACTTGGGTAGTTGTTAGTTGTTTATTTTTTTTAATTTTAATGAAAAGTCGCACATAATTATTTTGTAGAGAAAAAAATTGAACCGAAGATGATACAAATAGGGAGATAATCTAAAAGATTCATTTCTTCAGTCTTGACTGAGAGATTTTCTAATGATTGTTAGTATCGATATCAGACCTAGGATCATAATTGTTCCTCATAATTAGATTGATAGTTGAATAGATATGATCAACTGATAGTAGATTTGACTATGACAGAGCACGTGAACCTGATAGAGATCTTATCATGGAAAGATGACCAGTTAGAAGATATAAAATTTCAAAGTTTGTGGTGGACGAACGGTCTTCAAAAACCTCTTCTTATTTCGGAGACTTTAGTTATCAAAAAAATGTTTGTGGAGTAAATATGGAGAAAATATACACAATCTAATTCAATTAATTTATATAACTATTATTAAAAATTACCTTCAATAAACATTAAGTTTAAATATCTAAATACTTATTATATCTACAACATTTTTTCTTACAACCTAGTAAAAAATAAAAAATAAAGCCTAGTAGTAGCAGATTTCAAACTGTGCACAAATTTACAGCTTAACTATACACTTCTTTTCATATCGTATTCTGAACTAAGCTAGTTCACCTATAGTCATGTATCAAACCTTCAGATTCAACCGGTGCTATGGTCACAACAGTTTCCTGCGCCGGAGGAAGTCGCAACGAGCTAGCCCGGTGGCTACGGTCGACAATCTTCCCGCAAGTTTCGTCAAGGCAGTGCCTGCACTTGGGGCAAGACGAGTGCGAACTCAGCCACTTATCGATGCACCCGACATGGAATCGGTGGTTGCAAATTGGAAGAATCAGCACACGGTCTCCGTGTTTGAAATCCGATAGGCATATGACACACTCCGAGTCCAAGCCAGGCAGGTTCAAGTCAGCTGAGTAATTTACCGTTGGAAAAGACTTGAAGGCTTTTCGCTTGATCCCGCTATTTGCCGATTGGGCTGGAGTGTCCGAGGCTACTAAACTTGAGCAACTTAACGCACACCTAATGATGGAATTGAGTCCTAAACATAAAATTAGAGCGCATACGAGGACCGACAAAACCAGAACGATGCTTGCATCGAAGCCGTTGATTCTGGTGGAAGCATCCGAAGAGTTGTCTCTGTTTCCCGGGTTTGCGGTAGTCGGTGTCGGAAAAGATGGGGCATGCATCAGCAGCAACCTTCTAGAGTGGAATTCTTCAAGCAAACCTTGAAGAAGCTGTGTGGATATGAAATTGTAAACGAACATAGTTTGGCAAAGCTTAGTTTTGAGTTTAGAGCAGGTAATTCGTTTTAGGTAGTTGAAGTGGGGCTTTAATATATAGACAGAGACATGAGCGTACACATGATTTTATTTTAAGGGAACAAATTTTTAATATTTTAAAAGAAAAAGGACTTATAAAATTTTAAAAATAGAAATAAATTATTAATAAAAAATGCAATATATTATAATTTAAAATCTTCAGAGACAACTTTGAAGTGTTCCAACCATCTGTCAGTTCTTATATGCACAGACGTAAAGATTTAAATGACCGTTAGCTGAATTTTGAAATGGTAACTGCCTTAACTCTCATAGTGAAAACATATAATAATACAATTTTAAGGTTCTGTTTAGTGATTTCCGTCACTATCACATTTTAAATTCCACTTAACATTACATATTCTTTATGATAATAAATTATAGATGACTATGTTGCGAGTGTTTAAGACCATAAGGTGGGAAGTTAAATATTTTGTTTTATGTAAAACACGAATGGTAGATCTCTCAATAAGTGAAAATGTTAACATTTATCATATTGACGTGTAAAAGTTATGAACCGGTGGTCATCAAGCAAATTAAATTATACGTTCCAGAATTTATCTGGCAGTTTAGTAGTTAAAATAAATGATATTTTTTTTTAGAAGTTTTAAGTTTGAGCAACTACGTTTGCATAATATATGTGTTGTTAATGACTAAAAAAAATATAAATAAATGTTACTTTATAATCAATTCAGACAATTTAAAAAAATTTGTATGTTGCAAACAATAGTACATGAAAATATTTACCAATATTTTCCTTATCAACGTTTCACGTATACCTCTACTGCCATAAAAAAAATGATTTCCCACCGCCAAAGAAAATGAAAATATAGTGATTGACATCTGATCAGCTATGTTTATTTATTTCTTATCAATTGTTCCATAACGAAGAAAAACCTTTGCATCAATAATTAATTCTATTTTTAATCATTAAGTTTTATTAACAACTTGGAAAAAAGTCATTAACATCTGATCAGCTATGTTTATTTCTTTCTTTGAACCTCTGATCAGCTATGTATATCAAATTGGTGATTTGTACTGAAAAAAAAAGTTTCTTTCTCGTACACTGTCAAACAACAAATATACGTAACTGATCAGACGCTCAAAGAAAGGAATAAATATAGAGTGATCAAGTCGTTAACAACATCCAAAAGATGTGTAACAACCCGATTTTTAAAATAATATTTAATTAAAATTGGAGTGTTTAATTGTGAAAATGTGCAAAAAAATTTGAGACTGAATTGAAAGATTTTAAAACTTGGAGTTTATTTTAAAGTTAAAGAAAATTTAGGAACCAAGCCCTGAATTTAACCTTGAAGTGTCGGCAGGCAATTATTATATGCGTGATTTCTGTTTTGAAAAACAGAAATCAATTTCAGAAATCCTTCCTCACGCACACAACTTCCAAACTCGATTCCGACGCCGTCCGAATTCCGATCGTTGTTTTGAAACCACCGTTGTGTTCATCATCGAGCGAGGAACAAACCCTTCAAATTAATTGAAGCGAAACGCGGCCAAACGTCGGGAATTTCCAGTCAAAGTAGCGACGGTTTTGTTAGCTCTATCGCCGAGAAAATCTTAAATTCACCGCTGATCGTTGCTCCGTTTACGACACCTCCCGCACCATCGTGTTCCTTGTGCCGTTCCGAGTTCACCGGTGTCAACCTTGTCCGCCGTAGACGGCGGCGCGTGAGGAGGTGGTGCAGTCAAAGATTCGGCCGATTTGAAATCGAGCTCTCCGCCGTTCAAAAATTTGAACCGATCGTTGTAAGTATCTCGAAATCACTCAAAATAATTTTTAGAAATTTTTCCGGGATTTTTAGGGCCCCGGAGGATGCCTCACGCGCACACGCGCCGCCGCAGGGCGAGTGGCTGATGGAAACCGGTTTAACCGGTTTTCAACCGGTTCTGACCGGTTTGACCGGTTTCAATCGGCTCGAACCGGTTTGACCGGTCTGAACCGGTTTGACCGGTCTGACTCGACCCGAACGTTGACCCGACCGGACCGTTGACCGTTGACTGTTGACTTTCTTTGACCAAAACTTAAAATGGCTTTGACCGAGCATTAAACGACCGTTAATCTTTTCCGAGTATACCTATCCTGATAGTTTTCGACGTGCCAAATCCGTTTCCGCTATCCGTTTCGTCAAATTCGAACCCTAAGGACTCCAAATCGACGGTCAAAGTAGTTGACTTTGACTTTGACCAATAATCTGAATTTTTGAAAAGTCATACTTTATGTTTTTCGACATCCTGATTCCGATTCCGCAATTCGTTTGGCCAAATTCAGACTCGAAATACCCCAAATTGATAGTCAAACCCGAAAAATGCTTATATACTTAAGAAGTCTAGTTTTGAACAATTAAATAGGATTTGGGACTGATAGATTATTATTGTTTGAAGGTACAAGAGACTCTCCGGATCGTTCGACAACTCGACCCAGCTCTTCTAGATAAGTTAAACCACGTGTGCCATTATTCACGCATTCGAAAACGGTAGCAGAGCGTGGTGAAACCAGCAATCAGTAGATTTGCTATTTGAACCTATTGTCGAGGTGTGTTCCCTACTTGTTACTGAACTATTTTATTGGTTTTAATATGTGGTACACCGAATTCATTGGTTATTGTTTTATTAATGCACCAATTTAATGTGACAATTTATGGAATATGGCTGCTATCTAATTTTTGTTTTGAAATGGTAAATGATTACCATGTTTTTGGATTTATGGAATTTATGTCACGGTGCAATTGAATTTTGGAATTGAATTACGATGGAATAGCTCTGATCAAGCTAACTGGGCCTAATGTGACTCTTGAGGGCCCCAAGATGTTTCATTAGGTCGGCTTTCCTTTGCTGTGTGCTTTGGGTAAGCTATATGGACTTATTGACTTGGGCTTAAGGATACAAGCTTCAGAGCCTATCCTTAAGTCGGCTTTCTTTTTGCTATGTGCATAAAGTAAGCTATATGGAAAATAATTTTGAGAACTACTGATGGTGTACCAGAAAAGGGTTTAAACTATGATTTTCAAAAGTTAAACTCTTTTACGAATTTGTGAGATTACGGGACTATGATTTGTACCTATTGACATTTTATGGAAATGTTGGGACACACTGAGCCTAGCTCACCTTTTGAAAATGTTTTCCCCCTTTCAGATACTGTTGGTTAGATACCTCGGTTCGAGCACTTGGAGGATCAACATATCTCTTGAAGTAAATCAGATTGTAATGTTTTTATCTTGCAAGTTGACTTTATTTTTGGTGACATGGACCTTATTTTAAATATCGGATTTTATAATGATGACTCTTTTGCTAGTACTGCTCGGTTTATTGTGATTTTGAATTTGAAGACAAATTTTAAATTAAATTATTATTTATTGGTACTATATTTACGAGTTGGATTTTGATAGTATAATTTGGTTATAATTTCATGTTATTTATAATGTGATTTTATATTGATAGAATAACGATTTCGGAAAATGTTTTTAATAATCATAATGTGATCCACTAGACTTAGTCGAAACACATAGGCCGGGTCTAGGGGGTTACATTTATTGGTATCAGAGCTTTTGGTTTTTAACCCTCGGACTGTGTATGAGTCCACATTGAAAATACGGTTTTGAAATATTTTACAAAACGAGTTACTAAGGCCATGTCACAAAGTTATTAAGATTTTAACTATGTTTGAGACTCCAAGTGCTTATCTAACCCTAAGTTTTATCTTCTGTAGTAAACTTGAGATCCATCAAAATGAGTGCTAGACGTGGTCGTCGAACTAGCCGTGGACGAGGTCGAGTGGCTAGATTCGCAGATTCGATCGATGAGATACGGGTAGATCCCCCACCTCCGATAGGTGATCATGCTCCTACGACCCCAATGGATCTGCCTCCTGCCGCTGGTATTGGCATGGCTACACCGATAATAGGAGCGACCGATATTGAGTCAGAGTCTACCGGAGTTGCTTTGGATGAGAATTTTGGTAGACAATTTCTGCAGTTAATACAGGGAGCAGTCAGAGCTACTGGTGTTGTATCTGAGGTTCCTATTTCGCAGACTTTGATTGCCAATGGAGTTAGAACTTTTGGGAGACAGATAGGTGGAGCTCCTACTGAAGCTGAGGATTGGCTCCAGGATACAGAGAGACGCATGGATCAGTTGGATTTGGACTCAACTAAGAGATATCAGGGTGCCGTGGCGATGTTAGATGGCAATGCCTACACTTGGTGGGAGTCAGTGACCAGTAGTGTTCCTACCGATCGTTTGACCTGGAATTTCTTTAAGGATCGCTTTCGGAGCCGTTTTCTGGGAGAGCGCTACTTAGCTCAGAGACGACAACAGTTTCAAGACCTGGTTCAGGGAGACATGACTGTTTTTGAATATGAGATCGAGTTCCTGACGTTGCTGAAGTATGGATTCAGTATGATACCTACGGAGAGAGATCGATGTCGTAAATTTGCCATTAGACTCAGATACGAGCTGCGTAGGCAAGTTGTAACCCATCAGGATGAGATATTTGATGTGCTGGTAGGCAGAGCCAAAGATGCGGAAGAGGTGGAGGTTTTAGCTTCTGGTAGAGAGCGTGTTGATCAAGATCGATCTAAGAAATTTTCAGGCCCGATGGAGTCATCAGCACAGTCCGGGAAGAGGACTCGTACTTCAGCCCCTCAGAGAAGCAATACACGTTTCAGGCCTGCAGCATCCTCACCTTTAGCTGTCAGTCGAGGCGGTTCCTCGTCGTATTATAATGGGCCCCTTTGTGAGTATTGTGGTAAACAGCACTCAGGAGAATGTCGTAAGAAGATGGGTCTTTGCTATCAGTGTGGATCTAGTGGTCATTATCGGAGGGATTGTCCTCAGTTAGTTTTGTTTGAGCAGACCACTACCCAAACTCATGTGCGTTCACAGACTACAGTACAGACCCCAATTAGAGATCGTAGTCAAGGAAAGACTCGAGGATCAGCGTCCAGG